CAACCAACAATGCATCGAGCAAGGCCCTCGAGAACTTAATATCAACTAACTCACCAAGGTATATAGCTCTTAAACCCAAACCAAGATGGCCACTAAGGCCCAAACAATCACTAGATACATTCTTAGCCTGAGCTACCATAATCGATAAACCGATAAAGATGGAAAAACAATGCACCAATTCTACATTCCACATTCCACACTTATTCTTACCTCCCTCAAGAATCATTCCAAATCCTATGAATAACTACTCATGTCCACTACCGTTCGATTCATTCACAGATACCTGCTCTCAAATGAATTCACACCGCTAAACAGTGCACCAAATCCTATAAAGCACTTCCTAGGCTCTCCAAGGATTCTCACCTCACCCTGTCAGTAGCTGCTAAAGAACCCCTACTAATATCCGCTAACTACTTTATGAATAAAATTACATGCAACAAGACTTAAATAATCTTTCGAATAAAAGACTAAACTCTACAACGTTTAGACTCAAATGAGAGCTATGTAGTAGGGCTAATTCAATCATTCTAGAATTATCTAACATATTCACTTAATAGTTAGCTTATATCAATATGGGTTCCACAAAGCACAAAACAAGCAGCATTCGTGCAATAACACTCTATAGGTTATAAATCACAAAAATTATCCTCCAACTCGCTTGCTTCTACGATGCTAGAAACTTCTACCAACACTGCTGCTTGCCTAATGCACGCAAATTATACACAATACAGGATCAAATAGACTATCGAATAATGGATTCAACCCAAAGACCACAAGCAGATAGGGAGCATAAAATAACGGTAAATCACTCATTCTAGGGCCATATGATCATAACCATATACAATTTTTAAAACATACACTTACTAATCAATTCTACCAAGATAGATTCAAAATCTGACATAGCATCCAATTCCTACTAGGCTAGACGGCATCATAAATCAGTTCATTCTATCATGCAATTCCTGAGGGTATGCTTAGCCTAGCCACTATCAAGCATAAAAGGAATCTCTCTTAAGTAGGCATTCTAGCATGCAATGCTGAGAATATCCTTATTCTAACTTTTAGTATGCATATCATACAATAACACATATCATATCAACAAATACAAGGTATTTTGGGAATCACTTATATGAGCTCGATTGATTGCATGCATTGCACCCATTTTCTTTATAAAACCTTTATATAAAATCATTTTATTTTAAAATATTTTAGAAATCCTCAGTTTAAGTTCACACACACCTGAAAGTCTGCTCGAATCCCTCAAACAAAAGCTATGATGCCAACTTGTAACGTCCCAAAAATAACAAGTAAAAATTTCATTTTAAATAAATCAAACCATTCATTCATTGTTCCAATAGATGATCAGAGTGAAAGTATTCTCAAAACATCATAGTCAAATCATAAACAGTCAATGTAAAAGAAATTTGTAGGGGATGCAGTACGATCAAGTCGGACCCTTCCTTCTAATACAAGAAGTACCTAAAAACATTTAAACACAAAACCTAGTGAGTTCCTGCAAAATACCACATACCATAGAAGTAACATCCCCAACCCAACATACATGCTTTGGGCCAACCCATGTATTTGGGCCTAGCCCATATAATCGGACCCAACCCATATAGTCAGGCCTAACCCATATAATCAAGCCCAACCCATATAATTGGGCCCATCCCATACAGTCGGTCCTAGCCCATATAATTAGGCCCATCCAAAATAGTCGTGCCTAACCGTACATAACATACATACATATGCAAGAGTTACAAAGACATCTAACATCCTACATAACACAATATATTAGGCCAGCATTGGTGCCTCCGCACAGAAGTACAATGAAAAGATGCACCAAAAGTATTCAACAAAAGCCCAACAGCTACCTCATGAACAGAACAGCCAACCCGAGCTTCCTAAAGCCAAACTGAGACCAAAAGTCAAATTGGTCAAAAAATCAAAGGCTAAAGTCAACTCCAGCTGAAGTGGCCAACCCATGGCTATAATGTTGCCACATAATCTAGCCTCAATCAAAAACTACCACCATGTCCTCGCATACATGCTACAACACCATGGTAGAATCCAGGAAAAACATTCACAAATAAACTCGTCGCCACGTTGTGACGAGCATCATGTCACGCTGTGGACAAGCCCGGCCAAAACAGACGTGATAAATCCTACCACTAGGCCATGGGTCTCCTTGGTCACACTGTGCTCTTTAGTCTAAAAGGTTTTCTCCTCAATAAGAGCTTAATCCATAAGGACCAAAGCTAAAATCAACAGATTTGGTTCCTAATAGCTTCATAATGGATAAAGTTTCCAACTTTATTTATTAGGATGATCCAAATCACCAATATCTAGACTTTAAGTTTCAAAGGGACCCCAAAATGCATCTTTCTCAACTTAATACCTTAAGTCAAACTCTCTTACTTTCATATCTGAATCAACTAGATGTGTAGATGGATAAAGTTTCCAACTTTATCCATAATAATGTTACAATCCTTAATACACCAAAATGACCTAAATGACCAAGATAACGTGCATGGATAAAAGGAAATGCAAATATCATATCTTTCCTAATCCATGAGGTCCAGGGAGCATCCCAAACTAATCAAAAGATGTTGAAGTCTACTCAAATCCAAGATCACTCATAAAATGGACAAAAAATGCCAAAAACCACAAATGAAGAGATCTAAAGAACTAAACAGCAAGATTAGAACTTTTGATAAGTATAAAGCCATATTGGTTATCCAAGGCTTTAGACAAAAGGAAGGCATTGATTTCTTTGATACTTATGCTCTTGTTGCCAGAATTTCAACTATTAGATTATTATTAGCTCTTGCAGCTATACATAATCTTGTGATTCACCAAATGAATGTGAAAACTGCATTCTTTAATGGTGACTTGGATGAGGAAATATACATGAAACAACCTGAAGGGTTTGTGATGCCTGGAAATGAAAACAAGGTGTGCAAGTTGAAGAAATCATTATATGGTTTGAAACAAGCACCAAAACAATGGCATCAAAAGTTTGATGATGTTGTCTTGTCTAATGGTTTTGCATTAAACCAAGCTGACAAGTGTGTATATAGCAAATTTGATACTTCTGGTAAAGGAGTCATGATTTGCTTATATGTAGATAATATGTTGATTTTTGGTACTGGTTTAGAAGAAGTTGATAAAACCAAGAAATTCTTATCATCTAGTTTTGATATGAAAGACATGGGGGAGGCTGAGGTAATTCTTGGTATAAGAATTAGAAAAGGAAACAATGGGATTTCAATTTCTCAATCTCATTATATTGAGAAGATCTTGAAAAAGTTCAACTTTGAGAATTGTTCTCCTGTTAGCACTCCTATAGATCCTAGTATAAAGCTTCTACCTAATAAAGGATCTCCAGTGTCTCAACCTGAATACTCAAGGGCTATTGGTTGTCTAATGTATGCCATGATTAGTACTAGGCCTGATATAGCAGATGTTGTGGGAAGGCTTTGTAGATATACTAGTAATCCTAGTTCACATCAATGGCAAGTTGTGAGTAGAGTATTCAAGTACTTGAAAGGGACCATTAATTATGGTTTAACATATAGTGGATATCCTTCTGTTTTGGAAGGTTATTCAGATGCTAGCTGGATTAACAACTTAGAGGATCACTCCTCTACAAGTGGTTGGGTGTTTCTTCTTGGAGGAGGTGCCATTTCTTGTGCATCTAAGAAACAAACTTGTATTACTAACTCAACCATGGAGTCTGAGTTTGTTGCATTATCCGCTGCTGGTAAAGAAGTTGAGTGGCTAAGGAATTTGATTTATGAAATTCCATTATGGCCCAAACCGATATCTACCATTTCTATCAGATGTGATAGTGCTGCAACATTGGCTAAGGCTTATAGTCAAGTATACAATGGAAAGTCTAGACATTTAGGTGTTAAACATAGCATGATTCGTGAGCTCATCATGACAGGTGTGATATTTGTGGAATTTATAAGAACTTAGTTGAATTTAGCCGATCATCTAACCAAAGGGTTAGCAAGAGATCTTGTGCACAAGTCGGCTGTAGAGATGGGTTTAAAGTCCACTTAAAATCTTTTATATTGAGATACCTAATTCCCATCTAATGTAATATTAGATGTTGAATTCAATGTAGAAAGCTTGATATTTGAAGATTGGAACGCATTATTATCATCATCCCAAGGTATGTGTTCAGTACTGCAAGTAAAGGAGGTTGAATTTATATTCTTAATAGTTCTTTTTGAAAAATTGCATTTGCAGGTGCAAGAATAAATAGACTACCTATATAAGCATGAAGTTTAGTTGCTTCAAGAAGTTCGGACTTGGTTTTGATATGCTTATTGAAGGATGGGACACAAGCTAGTAAAAGATAGTGTCAAGTTAGAACTTATGAGAATATAAATTGTTGTGTGTACTATTTTCATGTATTCACTATGAATAGAAAGGGTTCAATCCTTAGAGACACCCTGATATTCGAATATTTGGATTGAATAATATACTAATGTGAAATTCAATCGTCATGACATTTCATTTATGCATCAGTTTGTTGATGTTATGTTTTGTTTTAAGTTAATCAAGATTACACTTAAATGGGGGAGGTTTGTTGGTGATTTTGCATCATCAATGTGTATTTAAGTGTAATGGATTGACTTGTTGACCAAAAATCAATCTTGATGAATATTAAACAAGTAAGGAAGGTACAGAGTGCACACTTGTTTGAGTTTATTCAAGATTTAAAGTAGACTGTCATTTAGGGGCGAAGCCCCTAAACGAACGGGGGTCCGAGGGCAGCGACCCTGGGAGAAAGAAAACTGCCTTGACAGTTTTCAGACAAATGATATACATAATCATTCTTTGGTCATTATTTTCCTGGTACAAGAACAATCACAAAATCATAACTTCATATTCTCTATTCTAGAAACTCTTCTGAGTCTTATCCGATTAAAGGTTGGGAGTACCACCCAAATACTTTAATGAAAGTGTTTAACACGATTCTCAGGATTTCCAAGTCTTTTCATACCCCAATTTTATAACAGGATTCATAAATAAGTTTCCATTCTTTGGATTCATAAATCATAGGGAATACATCGGCATTGCTTTATTTAATTATAAAATCAGATGAATCATCTTGATCCTAGCAATTTCCCTCACCAGTGAAATCTCGATTATATTAGAACAAATTCTCCACCAAATCAGGTATAGTTAGATTTGCAAAGATGTAACAACCAATCTCTGAGAGGTGACCACTATCGAAAAATAAGTATTTAGAGTCATCCGGGCATGTTCCGACGAGTTGATTGCATGTATAACTAAATTCTCTTAATCCAGTTCCACAACAACCTCTGTTTGTAACTTCCAACCCTAGGGAAAAGAAGAACAGAATTACAAGCAAGACCTTGTTCAAATGGGAATGTGCTAAATCTACGCCAAAAATTGTATAATATATGAAAAAAATATTTTTGGTGCTGAAAACAAATGAAAACTATTAAAAAATAAAATTCGTTGGAAAACACTATCTAATGAATAATTAATTATATAAATTATGTATTGGATATAGTGAATACCATATTTCTCAGGGTTATTGATGATTCTTATTAGGGGATTGTAGAAATCAACAAAGGCAATCCTGGACTGAGGAAGATTGCTTTCAAGAATTGGGAGTTGTCCTTTTAGCATATTATTGAAAATTTGTGCTTGTTGATTTTGATTTTGGGCCACATCCTAAGTAAACCTCCTTGTAATGTTCTCTCTACAGGAAGACAACCGACAGGTGGTGCACTAAAGACACCTATCTTTCGTGCTCCCATTTTGTATAGTTCCTTCAACAAATATGAAGAACAATATAAGTAACGTCATTTAGGACAACTCTTCATATCCATATACGAGTCCATCGTTTTGTGTTTTTTCTCAAACTGTGTATTTTTTCATTATATAGAAGTGTGTGAATGTTCATCGAAAACTTTGTTTGATAGAAGTATTTATACCTGCACAAAACTTAACGTCAAGTTTACTAGCATGCTATCATAAACATCATCCGGTAATCCACTTGCAGGAAGGGAAAAAAGAATATCGTTGGTACTTGCCACTACCAAAAATACGCTGTTTGTGATTATTTCTTTTGCAGCTTCTTCCCCAATATTGGTCTCAAGCTTCCCAAGATATTCTTTAAACAAATCCAATTGATCCAGCATTGGGATAGCCCTCTAATAGACATAGTAAGACGACAAAACAAATGAAACAATTAAACAAAAATAAGATTTACTTACACATGTAGATAACAGATGTTTTAACTAATAATGAGAATGCTAATTAAGAAGGAAATAGCAATATTAAAGATATGCATTCATACCGTTTGATTGGTTGTTTGTGGATCATACCCACTACCAGCAGAAGCAAAACATACACCCGTCAAAAGATCTTTGATTTGTATCGAAGGGTTAAGATATGGTGGAAGATACTCCTTCACTCCCAATCCTTCGGCTGGGATTTTGTTATCAAGTCGTTGCATTTTTATTAGTAAAAATACAAGACACTACAACAATGAGTGTACTCTATATAGTAACAAATTTCCTAAACTCTTTTGCTAACTCTATACATCCTAATGTATATAAAGGGGGTGTTTGGGGTATCTTTTCAGAGAGCAAAAGAACTTTTGGGAAAAGTTTCAAAAAGCTAGGTTTCCCTGACTTTTTCAAAAAGTCAGTTTTCCTTCTATAAAAAAAATCCAAAATGAGCTTTTAAGGATGTTTTACCAAACATCTTTTCTCTGTTATCTTTTCCCAAAAGTCCTTTTGCCCTCTCAAAAGATATCCCAAACACCCCCAAAATCTTCAGAAAATCTATTTAATGCTTAATAAACGCTAATGATATCCTATTTTCTTACTGGTTGTGAGATTGTTTTATAACAAGCGATTACCAAAGCCTAGTATCGTTGCTGACTATTGAAAAGGTTCATGTGTAACATGAGCACATTATTATGTATATCCATAAAATTAATTGTTTTCTTATCGATTTAACTATCATATATGATTTCCTTTTATTTTGAAACTGCTCCTCATAGTTTTTGTTGGTGAGTTAGACACATGGGAAGTACTTATGTTTAGCATGAAAGTAACTACTTGACCTAAGCATTATCCTTTAAAATATGGATCTGATTCGTATACAAAAAAATTTCTGGATAAGCAAAAATTTGTATTTGAAATGTATTGTACAACTATACAAAACATAAATTGTTGTGTATGAATCGTTTCCTTTAAAATATCATATTTAATATTGTATATTTGTTATGTTGTTGAAATGAATGTTGAATAAGATGGCATGGAGTGATATGAGGGTGTAATTAATGGAATGCGAAGTTAAGTGGAGTTAAATTGAAAATCTTGTTCAAACGAAAACCAAACCAATTTGATATGAGAACCAATTTTTTAAATTTACAATATAAAATAAAGAGTGTAAAATTATTTTTATTTTATATTAATTGATATTTTCAAGATGTTGAAATATAATAACTTGTAATCTCAAATATAAATGAATAGAAATACTAATTTCAAAATAAGAAACTATGTTTACTTTTATAAAATATAATTTTTGTTGTGAGAGGATTTCTTGAATTATTTAAACTTATACATCTAAAATATAAAAAAATAAATAAATAAATAAATAAATTAACTGATTAATACATAAGAGAAATTGACAAAAATGAAGAACATTTCGATGAGATTTTAAATATATGTGCTAAAGGGTCACGGATAGATTAATAATAGAATATATAATGATTTATAACCTCTATGAAGATCCCATAGAAGCAATGAAATATCATGATGCTATCATGTTCCTTCCATTGTGAAAGAAGGCATTAATGGTGAAATGGGTTTCATCTTAGATAATAATACATCAATTCTATGAGCATAATAATATATGCCACAATTGAAGGCAATAGACTTTGTATGTATACATAATTGTACAAAGAAGTAAGAAATACAGAGATTACAAAAGATATGGACAAGGCTAATAAACATGGAAACAAATAAATCTAATCTTATAGAGGATCTATATGATCGTTGTTATTAACCTTAATACCCTCCCTCAAGCAAATCGTAGGATTTGATCCAATGCCAAGCTTGGAACGAAATGTAGCAAACAAGGGTTGAGCAAGACTTTTAGTGAAGACATCATAAATGTTTAAGTGAGATGGAATGAATTGAGTCTTCAACTTCCGTGATTAAAAAAGTTTACTAGTGAAATGATAGTCGAGTTCAATATGTTTTTCACGTTTATGAGAGATTGGGATGTCACTAATTAACATTGTTCCCTTGTTATCACATAGAACGAGTGGACAAGTAGTAAGAGAAATGTGTCAATTTTCCAGGAGATGTGTGACCTAAATAATGTCTGTTATAGCATTAGCAAGGGAGCAATACTCAGACTCGTAACTTCAACGTGATATCGTAGGATGTTTTATGGAACTCCTCAAAAAATAATAGAACCAAGAAAAAAGGAATGGCCCAAAGTTGATCTTCGCGTGTCAGGGCATGATACCCAATCAGCATCTGAATAGGCAAGAAGACAAGGATTGGGGCAAGAGTAAGTCAATGTAAAATGAGAGGTACCCCCTAAGATAGCGTAGAATACGCTTAACAACAAGAAAATGATCATCAGTAGTATTCTCTAAGAACTAACTGACATGATTGACTATAAATGAAATGTCATTACGAGTGATAGTCAAATACCAAAGAGCACCCACCATGGAGAGATGTATGGTAGGGTCATTGAAAGGATTTCCATCACATTGTAATTTTTGACCAGAGACCATGGGTGTGGCTACAGGCTTGCTTTCATGAAGTTGATCATGCAGGAGAAAATATGAAGCATACTTTGCTTGCCTGAGAAATAGACCGTCAGTAGTGTAACTAACCTCTAAACCAAGAATGTAGTGAAGCTTGCCTAGATCCTTAATAGCAAATGCAAATTGCATCTTTTAGATTAACGATGTGATCAAAGGTTCATTGTTCCCTGTCAAGGTTATGTTGTCAACATAAATAAGTAGATACAAAATGGTATGGTCCTTATGAATTACAAACAACGATATGTCAGCTTGACTGCATTTAAAACCAAGACGAGTAACAAAATCACTTAACCTTTGAAACCATGCACGAGGTGCTTGTTTTATACCATACATCGCTTTACAAAGACGACATACATGGTTTGGATCAGAAGTATCGAAGTATCCTGGTGGTTACTCCATGAAAATTGTTTCAAACGGATAACCATTGAGAAATGCATTTTTGATGTCCAGCTGATGCAAGTTCCATTTTCGCATGACCACCAAGCTCAAAACAATACCAACTGTGGATGCTTTAATTACCGGACTGGAGGTAGAGTTAAAATCAAAACTAGTGACTTGAGTATTGTGCTTTATGAAGGTCAGTTGACCCATTTCCATTAAACTTGGTGCGGTGGGCCCATTTGGATCTGATAACATTGACACACGAAGGATAGGGAACAAGCTCACAAATAATTATTTCACATCAAATTATGATCAAGCAACTGAGTAGGCATGCGATTTATAGTAAAAATTGTAGCAGAAAAAGCATCAAATAAGTATTTTGCATTTAAGTTTGCGTGAAAATGATTGTTAGTGTGACATCTTGATGATAAGGTACTTCTAATTTTAAACCCATAATTTGTTTATATTTCAATTTAGACCCTAAGTAAAAGAAAGAGTGCAATGAAGACCCTGGTGGCAATTTCATAAATTAGGTGTTGGGGGAGTATGTCATGCATACGTGTGTACACTAAGCGTACTAGGGCATGCCCAAGTATGCAGGGAATACATATGTATATAGGGCATACGTGTCGTGCATGCAAACCCTAATTTTTAGGGTTTGGATGATATTTAAACCCCATTATAGCCTCATTTTTGCTCACTTCATTAGTATGTGTGTATGTGTTTTGAGCTTTTGAAGATGAAGAAAGGAAGGAGAGACAACCTTGGAGGAGTGAAGCTCTTTAGATCCAGGATCACAACACCTTTTGGCAGCATTTTGAGGTATAAAGTTTTGAACTTGGTGAAGTTTCATTTAGATCTCGTGTTGGAATGATTTTTGGTCCTTTTTGTCCCAAATATGGAGATTCAAGAACATAGCATGTTCTTGACCCATTAAGTTGTCCTTTCAGACCTTTGGAAGGGTATTGAGTCATAAAGATGGGGTTTAAATAGTTGGTTTTGCTTCATGCATCATTTAGAAGGGCATAATTGATTAAGAAGTTTAGTTAAGCACTTAATGGGCATGCAAAGTCATAAAGTTGGGAAATTTATGACTATTGAGGGTATTTTAGCCATAGATCTGAAAGATGGATGTGCGAGCTTAAGCCATTAAGCTATTAATGTGAAATTAAGAATCTGGGAGTATGCCCCGCGTACATGGAGTACGCACCACGTACGAGGTCAACCACATCGATGGTGGTCAACGCTCGAGAACACCCATCGTATATTTGGAGTACACCCCACATACTCACTTTGTGTTGACTCGGCTGGGTTGACTCAGTTGATTTGACCAAGTTTGAATTAAAGGTATTTTGTGTATTTTTGGGATTTTGATTGATATTGGTGATTTGGTTGGATATGTGACAGTTAGAGCTGAGATTCGGAGTCAGGACCTCATCAGGTTTTGTCCAGTCTGTGAGGTGAGTTTTCCTCACAGTACTTATGGGTCGAAGGCACCAAGGCCGGCCCATTAAATTGATATCCTGGTATACACTAATATTTTGAGTATGGAATAGATCTTCATGATTATACACTAGTTATCGATATGCTAGTCTGGTAGATCTGTAGGACTAGCTACGATTATGTCTGCATGATTCTCTATATATGCTTGTTATATGTTATATGTTGACGTATTGTGTTGGGTTGAGGTTTTACAGCTGCGTGGTGTAGCCAACAAACCCTGGATCATTCTAGATATAAGTTAAGGGTCGGGCAAGGCATGCCAGATTCATATTGAGGGCTCAGGAGCATTCCAGATACAAGCTGAGGACTGGGGGTATGCCAGACTCGTATTGAGGGCTTAAGGGTATTTCAGTCAGATGACTGATAGCTAGACATAAGTTGTGGGCCCCGAGGGCAACCCATACTTATGCTGAGGGATTAGGGGTAATCCAATCTTTTAGCTATGGACCCATAACACGTTATTGTATATGTTATATGTTTATGTGTTCCTACTTTGGGGGAAACTCACTAAGATTTGTTTTATGGTTTTTAGTTGTGGTTTCAGGGACTTCGGATAATCGCAAGAAGGCGACGGCAAGACCGTACACATCCTCTGTTTTATGTACTTTTGAACTATAGGATACTCTGATATTGAAAAATACTTGAAAACAATGATTTTGTAAACATTCTATGATTTGGGGTTGTTTTAAAGAGTTTAAATTTCTTGTAATTTTTATGGATGTTACAGTCAAACCCATTTCAGTGATGTGACAATGTTTTCGTTCGGTGTGCCTATTTTG